AGCCAGGCCGCGGGGCATCGGCCGCTCAGCCTCCACAGCCTCGACTGCTGGGCTCAGGCAGCCCTTCCGCTTCAGCCCTCCGCGTGGCTGGGACTACAGGCACGCGCCACCATGCGCAGCTAGTCTTCTTTTATTCAGTGGGGAGACAAGGTCCTGCCACGTTGCCCAGGCTGCTCTCAAGCCTGTGGGCTCAGTCAGTCCTCTCGCCTCCACATCCCAAAGTGTTAGGATTACAGGCACAAGCCACTGCACCTGGCTTGTTTTTTTAACTTTACAGAGACAGGGCCTCGCTCTGTTGTCCAGGCTGGTCTAGAAATCCTGGCCTCAAGCGGTCCTCCCACGGCCACCTCCCAGAGTGCTGGGAGTGCAGGCACGAGCCACTGCGCCTGGCCTTCGAAGAACTGCTATTAACCCATTTGTGCAGGTGGGACGGGGCGGGGCGACCTTCCCAAGGCCACACTGAAAGCAAGCCACAGACCTGAGATTCTGCATTCAGAGGCCCTGCTTTCTGCCTCAAGCTCTTGGCCCTCATCCCTGATGCTGTCACGGAGGCCCTAACAGTCCCCACATCACAGGTCCTTATGAGAGTTCTGTGGGTAAACATGGATAAAGCAGTGAAAACAGCAGCTAGCACAGACTGGGTATCCTGTGTTTGTCAAGCAAGCTTGAACCTCAACGCCTCAGCATCACTTCTTCCCCTCCCTCCCCTGCCTTAGCCCTGGCCACAGTGTGCCCAGGCTCTAAGTAAATGCAGGGTCGTGGGCACCCTGCGACGGCTTTGGGACTCTCTGATATCCCGGATCTGCTCCTTCCCAGCTGTGTGGCTGAGGCCTCACATTCCCTCATCTGTTAAACGGGGAAGAAAACAGCATCTATTTGACCCAGCCGGAGGATTCAAGGAGAAACAAAGAGCTGGTGCCACAAGAGAAGGGGTCAGAGGAGGCAAGCACAGGCTGCTGAGAAGCTTGGAGCTGAAGGTACGACAGGAGTCCTTAACCGTGGGAAAAGCCCGCACCAAGCTCGTGGAGCCTGTTACCTTTTCCCCTCTGAAAGTGAAGAATCCTCTATTGAACTTCTAGCCAGAGGCCAGGCTTGGTGGCTCACGCCTGTAATCCCAGCACTTTAGGAGGCTGAGGTGGAAGGGCTGCCTGAGCCCAGGAGTTTGAGACCAGCCTGGACAACATAGCAAGACCTCGTCTCTCCAAAAAAATAAAATAAAGTAAAAAGACACACTTCTATATCCTGCTCAGGGACGTTTTATATCTATATAATGCTGATTTAAGGACCTCTAGATCCATTTCCACACCACGCCAATAAAGAATAAGACTTCTGTGTTCTGTCCTCATTTGGACCTGTCCTGACAATCAGCTGTCTGTTCTGACCCAAGGTCACCATCAGTCCCAGGAGGTATTCCGCCTGTCCCTCCAAGGTCTTTAAGATTTTCATTAATTCCAGATTTATAGAAACCGGCCCTTTGACATTGTGAGTCTGGATTTCCTGCTTAAGGGGGAAAAAAATCAGAGGACCTGGCCTCTGTGGGCCACATTCCTGTGAGGCTCTAAGTGTCAGAAACGGTCACCGGCCACCACACGGCAGGTGGGACAGTGTCTGCCCGGCCGGCCCCGACATCTTTCCCTCCTGGCTACCTGTGGGCATGAGAGTGTGTGCCCCTCAGCTGCTTTTGTTTCTTCATCAAACATTAATACAGCACCTTTTGTATACACCATCCACAAATCATGTGGGTAAATCTTCACAGCAACCCTTCCGAGGTAGGAACTACAACCAGGGTCTCTGACAGACAAGGAGGCAACGGAGGCTCAGAAGGAAGAAAATTAACTTGAGGGACCTCCCTAGACCATCGCCATCATACTCAGCCCGGGCACACTCTGTCCCGTGCACAAACTCAGACCCCTTCCAGGGTGCTCGCTGGAGGAACCTGCCAGGTGGGGCCATGAAGTCAGGGCAAGCGTTGTAAAATTAACTGTAAAGTGCACCGCCCCTTGCTGGGCAGAGCAAGCATGGAGTGCCGGCCACCGCGGGACAGGGCTACGGCCGTCTTGTCTCCCGGGGCCCCAGTGTCCTGTCCTCAGCAGCCGTCGGCACAAGGCCAGACACACTGCAGGTGCCAAGTACACACTTGTTGAACAGATTGTGTGCGTAGACAGATTAATCCAAAAACACACAGAATGCACCGTGCTGTGATGATGTCTGTCTCTCTTTGGACTGGGAGTGCCCTGTGGCCAGTGCTCCTGTCTAGCTCACCTTTTAATCCCCGGCAACCAGGTGATGATGGTTGCTTAATAAAACTCATTCCTCCTAGAACCTGGGCTGACGAGAGGTGAGGAGACTGGCCAGGGTCGCACGCCTGGGGAGCAGCCAAACTCAGGCGCCAGGTTCACCTGGCACAAGCCCAGCTCTCACTGCCCCCAGGGTGGGGGCACCCTGGCAGCCTCGGCCGGGCCGACTCACCTTCCCATCCGGAACGCTGCTGTATCCACTGAAATGCAGGGGCCCCAGCACGGTGGGCCTGGAGCTCGGAGAGGGTTGGTGATCCAGGCAGGAGGCCAGGCAGAGCGGCAGGCGGGCCCAGCAGCACAGGAGGATGTAGACGGCAGAGAAGACCAAGGAGCACAGGACGACAAGCAGGAGCCGGCCCCGAGGGAGGCAGCGGGCATGAGGGATCTGCATGTGGGGAGAGGGACTCCTGGAGTGTGGAGGGTTACCCCCGGCCTCCTGGGCCTAGGCTCCACGTCACAGCTCCTAGAACAGCAGCAGAATCCAGTCTCCACTAACCAGACCTTACTCGAGGATGCCGGGCTTTGGCCACACAAGGCCCATCCCAAATAAGGAGACCACTCTGGGGTGAGGTGTGTAGCTCATGGCCACATGGCAAGGCAGCAGCACTGTGAGGCCTTAAGGACAGGTGTGCGCCTCTGTGCCTGGCTAATTTTTTTATTTTTCGTAGAAATGAGATTTCAATGTGTTGCCCAGGCTGGGCTCAAAATCCTGGGCTCAAGCAATTTTCCCGCTTCAGCTTCCCAAGGTGCTGGAATTACAGGTGTGAACCACTGTGCCTGGCCTCGCATTCTCAACCAGAAGCCTGGGTGTGCTGTGCTGCCTTGGGCATGACTTTCCATCTCTCTGGGCCTGTTTCCTCCTCTACAAAATGGGGACCAACATAGGCTGCAGTTGAACCTACAGCGGGGACAGCGGTGAAAGCATTCCGCACACTGTGGAGTGCTGTGCTCTTGAGAGCAAGAGAGTGGCGTGACGGCAGGACCACCAGCTCCTTTGGCGCGTGGTCCAGAGCTGCCTGGGATGGCCTGCCTCTGTCCTCACTCCCAGCTGACTCGGTGGCTGTCCTGGAGCTGGTGATCACGGTCTTAGTCAGCAGGCCACGTGTCAGAAGGGGATTTGAGGGAAGTGCCATGCAAGAAATGACTTCACTAATTGCAAAACGGTTGCCCAGAGGCTACCGCCTCCACAAACCGTGTGCCAAGGGCCATAGGAACCAGGAAGCCCATGTGGCTCTCTGGCCTGGGCTGGCCCTGCTGGCAGAGAGAGTGGAGGTCTCCACCAAGCCCTTCAGGAGGGGATGATCGGGGAGAGCCTGGGTCCGTCACTGTGTGCGAGGCTGCCTGTGTGGCTCAGGGCTCTAATTTTCTAGATGCGAGGCACAAGGCCCTAGCCACCCGCCACGCCCTGCAGAAACTGCTTTGAAAATCAGAAGTGGGAAAGCAGCCCCCACACCCTCCCCTCAGGCACATCCTGCCACCGGCCCACTGTTTTCTGCCCACAAGCGACATCAGCTTCTAAAAATAAGTCCCTTCTCACAACCAGGGATCCCGAGTAAAGACCAGCCAACCTGGGTGTTCACACCACACCCCCGACGCCCGCAGGCCTCGCCTGGCTGACCTCGACAACAGCCTCGTCTTCCCGGGGGGCGAGTAAGGCACGGAGGGCGTCCCCCGAGGGGATGCAGCTGCCTGGGGCCACACAGCCTGCGAGAGCCGGGCCGGACTTTGAGGGCGGTCTGCCCTTCGCTGCTCGGCAGCTGCGGGGGCTCAGAAGCCTCAGTCGGTCCTGGGGCAGGGAGGCGGCCAGGCGGCCCCACCGGAAGGAGCCTCCGGCTCGCTGCGAGCCCTCCGCCTTCCCGCACTCACCGGGGCCTTCATGCTGCCGGCGTCCCTCAGTAGTCCGGGGGCTGCTGTCTCCAGGGCGGGGGCTGGGGCTGGGCCGGGGTGCGAGCCGGGCACCTGCCGGGACCGAAACTCAGGGCCGGAAGGCAAGTGCGGGAGGGGTCGCGGCGGCCGGGAACAGCGGGGCCGGGGCAAGAGCCGGAGTCCCGGCGGTGGCGCCCGCGAGCCAGACGCCCGGAGCTCGCCGGGC